AAATGTGGTGCTTTATAAAGAATAAAAATTTTCAAAAATTTTTTTGTTTTGCAGTTTTACAAAATTTTGATTTTTATTTAAATGGCAATACTTTATATTTATTTTTGTTTTTAATTTACATAAATTGCACTTTGACAAAAAAATCGCACAACTCAAAATTTTGTTCTCAAAATACGATAAAATTTTGATAGTACTTTATTTTATATTAATTATTATTTTTGGAGACAAATAATTACAAAAAAACCGTTGTTTGCTGTTTGCTTGAAAAAAAAAAACAGAATGGATGTCAAAAAATCAAATTTTCGTCATTAATATGGATCAAAAATCATAATCAAAATATTAAAAAGTCAATATTGTGATATTATTCTGGAAAAATGTACTAATAAAAAATTGTAAGAAAAGAAAAAACCAAACGAAGATTGGAATTGTGTTCAAAAACACCAAAATAATCAAATTAATTATTATTTATTAAAAAAGTGGTGAAATTTTGTTGAATAATTTCTCAATATTCAAATGAAACGAAGCAGGAGCAAATTTAATTTTTTTCTTAAAGTCAAGTTTTTAAAGTCAGTTTTTCCGGGTTTAGAAACGAGATTTTTGAATTTTTGTTTATTATTTTAAACTCAAGTTAATTTTTAAAATCAACAAAAAAGTTAAACTCTAGTTTGTTTCTGCGAAAAAATAAATTCTGAAAAAGATAACTGTTTAGGTTCTCTTAGACATTTTCATGTTTCAGACTTTGATTTTCAATAATTAGAAGTGAATTTACCAAAAATTCGACTGTTTTAAGTTCACTCTGTAAAAAACGGGAAAAGCGTGAAAAATGAACAATTTTCAGTTTCTTTTAGTCTTTATTCTTCACCTGAAACACCCTAAAGCTCGTAAAAACCCCAAAAATTTTAATGTTTTTCTCAAAAAGTTTACTAATATTCAAAAAAATAGTATCCAAGAGAAAAAAGGAATCAGAAACGTTAAAAAATTAGAAATAAGAGTAAAAACTTAAAAAGAAACAATGATTTTTATTTAAATATGCATGAAATGCATTGTTTTATTCAC